AAAATTTCAATTTTTTTTGCAAACTTACTGTAAACACTCTAGTATAATTGTCCCTCTCACTTTCAATTTTAAGCCACTTTATCTCGATTTCCGTGACAGATATCAAAAATTGTTAAACTAACAAAATATTCTGGATATTATGATAATCACTTTGCCATTTGACCACTTCTTGATTTCTTTTACAGGAAATCAGATATATAGGCTCAAATTTGACGGTTTGGGAGGCATTCTATTAGTGCTTACGGTATTCCCAACCAAGACATTATATCATAAGCAAAAAGTGCACTTTCATTCTTCCTACCTTGTTCAAATTCTGTATTTGCCCATTTTTAACCCGGTTAGTGTCAATCAAAACTGATTTCTAATTTTCATTATCAGTCAAAGGTCGCTGCTATTTTCATGTGATTGATGAACACGAACACGGGAATAACATGTTGACACCCAAAGCTTTGTTCATGTGAAAAGTGCTCAACTACCGTACTTTTGCCGAACAACCTTTTCCTATTGGAATAGTGCAGAACTTCGTATTACGTTTAGATTCGGTCAAAGATCGCGGACAAAATATTAGGTTTGGAGTGAAGATAAATATTCTGATTGTTGCCCCTGATAACCGTTTTGCGGGCACCCTACGCTACGTCATTCCTATTTGCCTATCTCGGCGCGGTTTTAAGTCGTCGGGCCTGCGCGGGCGCTCCACGGCCCCCCTCTTCTCAGTCTGTTACATATTTATCATATTATTGTTTGTCCTGGATCATTATCTCAAAAGACAAGACAGACAGTTTGGTGCGGAGAGACCACAATTTTCACCTCTCGTTCACTCGGAGTTCTTCGAATGACGTGTGCCTCGTTTTCTCTCTGATTAATGGTCTCACGAGAACAACAGTCAGACGCACTGCGGGGGCCCACACGGGTGGAAAAAAGAATACAGCCGGTGGAGGGTCACCGGAGGTTAAGATGACGCTATTTACATTGCCTGATGGCAGGAGAAAGGGAGCACCGAACCCATCTGGCAGGGTCAACTTTTTCTAAGTGTCACATATGGTTTTGGTGTGATAATTCATGATGATGTCATATGTGGGACCTAAAACCGGAAGGTTAATGAGGACTGTTTATACCGAAATTTGAAAACAATAAAAGATCACAAACAGTAAACGCGAATGGCATCATAGAGTGGAAAATAAGTATTTTAAATAACCCAATGTTCAAAACTGTGAAATGGTCTTCAGGGGTCTTGAAATGTTTTCCGTTTTTTAATATCTATCGAGATAACTCATTTTCTGTTTCCTTCAAAAAATTACACTTAACTTTTCTGACCGATGTCCACACCGTAAGACTTTTAATTACAGCTACCGCTAGACCTGTAATAAAAGGGCCCCGAAGCTGTTAAGTTTGAACTCGAATATCTCAATTCCTACGCAAGATATCAAAAGCATGTCAGCTGATGGAATATTGGCAATATTAAGAAGAACAATGTTTTAGTTTGCGAATTTTATATATGTTTCAAAGAAAATGAGATATAAAGGCTCAACGTTTGTAGTTAGGGCCTTTCATTTTGCAGGTTTGAAGATCTTTCAGGCTCTTTGGCAGATATCTGAAAGTGTTAATCTGATAAAATACCATCCATATTATTGCAAGCACTTCAGTACTTGAGAAACTTATGCTATCTTTAATATCACGGAACTGTCGTTTTAATAATCCAATTCAAACCAATTTATTGTTTTTTCTTTGCTCAAATTAATATTTACCAAATCAATTCATCGATGTAAGTTTTATTTAATCTGAAAATTGTGAAACTTGAATTCATCAGAAATCATCTGAATCACAATTACACTATCCTACTACCTCCCGAAAATTAGTAAACCACACCAGTTGCTGTTTTACAGTATCCCCCGAGACCCATCCCGATGATTTCTTATCTTGTTCTCCTATCTCTATCCGTTCTTTTTTGACACCCAGATCAAAGTAGTATCATCAGAAGTAATTTTACACTCTTCAGATCCACCAATATTGTGAGGGAAATGGGATGGACGGATAGGTTGGATGTGATCGAATGAGAAGAAGAGGTTGTCAAAAGCTTATCTTTCAAATGATAATGGATAATGGGATTAGCTATATAGTGAAAAAGCAATGGGATGGATTTGATGGGGGTACATAAATCAGCGGCTTTGATCATTTTGGATAGCGTAGTTTATTCTTTGGAAGGGATCTTTCATGAGTGGTTTTTGGGATCGTTCAAAGTCTACAAAAAAACCATATTGGGACTAATAACGGTTTGCAGACTTTGAAGATCCGATTTTTGATCTGATCAAAAAACATTCAATTCACCGAGGTAATCTGATCACCGTTTTCGCATTGAGGATCACAAAGCGGATAACCGATTAAAATGGCATGTAGTAAAGGTACAAGGTACACTACAAGAGTATTTTAAAGAGTTGCGAAAAAATTATTAATCCGGTTCTGTTCTAGTTCTGTTCAAAGACTAAAAAACGCGTATTGGTGCTTATGGCGTTTTCAAATTGAGGGATGCTTACTGTTTCAAGAATTCCAATAAAAAAGTGATTAAATTATAGGATATTAATATCTTTGAAAAGACGCAAAACTTATGAAAATTATTTCAGAAAAATCAGTATCAATGCAAGAAGTATAAGAACTGTAGTAGAAGAGACCCGAAACTATGTCAAGCTTGAATGTAATTACCGTCTTTCCTCTAATAGAAGCCCATGGGCTTCTTTTTTTTTAACCACTTTCTCAGGAAAGGCTTCTATTAGAGGTGGACCTCAATTAGAGGATGGGCCTCTATTTTTCAATGATTAATTTTCAGAACAAATTTTGTTCAAAAAATCAGAAATTGGACAATTCGGAAGTTAAGAGTTCTGAAATTCGGTGTTTTTTTTTCAATTTAAAGTTTTCATTCTGCAATTTTAAACTCCAAATTTCCAAATTTATGAAATTCTGAGATTCCAGAATCTCAAAGTTCAATATTCAGGAACTCTGTAGACCTGAAATTGAAAATTTTGAAAGTTGAGAAAAAGTCCATGGGCTTCTATTAGAGGGTGGGCTTCTATTTTTCGAAGCACCTCGCGGGGTGGGATTCAAATAGAGGTGGGCTTCTATTAGAGGAAATACGGTATATCGGCTTCTATGCAACATACCGAAAGTGTGCCAACTAAGGAAATGTTTTTGATATCATGATTAACAACTTATTAGATGACAACTTTTTTTATATCTTTAATAGGAACCGAGATAAATTGGCTCTAAGTTGAAAGATGGAAAATTTTTCTATTACAAGTTTTACGGTAATTCAAAAATTTCACCACAACGCAAAGTTTCAAAAACTAGTTGATTTCTATTTTTGTTTAGTATATAATAAACGTTAAGGTGTCTTTAGAATTTCAAAAAACATCTTAATTACCGTAAGACCTGTATTAGAACGGCCCCTCTTTTAAACGTCCCTCCGAGAAGCGCTTCAAACATAGAAAGCTCCTAATGTTGTTTGTAACTGAAACTTTTTATTCATTCTCAGAAAAAAATATTCCAGAAACTTACAGAAAGAATTAGAGAATTTTACAGAAATTTGCATAAAACTGATATAATTTTATGAACTTGGAAAAGAGAGTTCACCAATTTTCCAAAATAATTCTTTTCCGAAAGAATGGTCAGTAAAATACAAGCGCCCCTCTAATTGAAGGGCACCTGTGATAGAAAGGCTCTCCGAAGGTAAATTGAAACAATAAACGAGATGGCCCTTCTAATACCAGTTTTAGGGTAAGATAATTTTCTTTGAATCAATAGAAGTTTTGAATAATATCACTGTTTGGTTTTTTGATAAATCTCGGCTTGATGAAGTTTTACTTCAATATTCGTTATCATCCAGTCCAATTAATCAACCTCCTCTTCAAGACCATTAGCAACATTTCATATCAATTCTCACTTTCTACTATTTCTTATTTTTACACTGTCCGGATGGTTATCTCACACCATCGCGCCTCTTTCTTCTTCCACTTCATTAAACTAATTGTTCTTCTCGTTTACGCAAAGTACGCTCGTTTTCTGTGTTTTGTTGTGCTTTGATGTCAGTCCTCATTGAACGAAACAGAATGAATGCAATTTTACGATTGGAGTTGGGAGCAATATAATGTGCTCTAACTCCTGATGGCAATTAGACGTGATTGCTTGAACGAAGCAGAGAGCAGGGATTGATTCTTTGTTGAAGCAGTTCTAAACTTTGGTTTGATGTCTTGAACTGAAATCTGGAAACTCTTTCTCTCACTCTCCTGGAAAAATGGTTTCGTAGCTAATCTGAAATATCTGAAAAATAAATCAACGATCAACATGAAGGGTTTATTATCCAATATTTCACTCGGATAAAAAAATTAGGACTCGGGGTGCGCAAACGAAATCATCGCTGGTTTTGATTTGATGAAGTGATGTGGATGGTGGGGGTTTGTGTGTGACAAGGATCTCTTTTGGGGTCTCTCAAACAGTAGGGGGGAGGATTTTTTGGATCTTTTGTGAAAATCTCCTCAAACGAAACATTTTTAGAAGAAAAAGGTTAAAAAGACAGGGATAGGTAAGGTGGGTGAGGGGAAGATTATTTGATTGGTGAGTGTGTGTGTCGATTTTTTTTATTGGAGAGTGGGGAGGGTGGGGGTGAATCAAAATTTGTCGCAATCCTCTCTCTTTTCACCGGTGAGGCTAAGATTCTGGGAAGTCATGAAGATTGGTTTCTTGGTTGTTACGACACCTCCGATGGGGAATTAGGAGGTGGGTTTTTAAGTATTTTTTGTGAGAAGAAGACAAAAGGCTTGATTTGAGGGGAGGGGGAGTGAAGAAACTCAATTTACAATGATGACAGACAATTTGGTGATGTTGAAAATGAACAAAAAGAAAAAAACCATCTTGTCAGAAATTTTTACAGGAGCGATTTGTTGTTATTAAGAGGGGGAATCGGAGCGAACAATCAGAATGTGAGGGATATGTGAGCACCACGCGCGAGTTTTTTATGGCTGTCCGGCGAAGTTCGGGTTGCAAACTTCGATGTCACCAGTTGGAGCAAGACCCGGGCACTCGTAGACACTGTAGTTGTTCTCCTCGTCAGCACCATCCTCTCCGTCGGACTCGATGATTCCTGGAGCGTCCTCGCCGCAGATGATCTTCTGCTTGGCCTGTTGGTACTGGTGGAGTTGAGCCTTGTAGGCCAGAGTCTCGTCTCCCTTGTTTCCCTGGAAAGTTGATTTAACTATTTTCTGGATTTTGAAACTTCTTTAACACTAGCTTTACATCTTGGATCCGACTTGGTTTGCATTCTTCCCTAGATTCTTGGAATCAAATCGCATTAAATTATATTTTTTTCATATCCTAGCTTTTCATTAATCCCCCATGTCAATATTATTTCATCATATGATATCCTTAACATATACTTCCGGTTCATTCGCCCCTTTAAATCGAATACATATCATATCCGATTAGATCTAAAAAAACATTATTCGAATTTGATTGGCCTTCCTTCCGGAACGATTCGGCTCAGTTATTCTGAATATTAATCACGCGCGAGGCTTGTAATTCAGTTAATAGATTAGGCTTCTTTTCTATTCATGCGCAACGTATTCGTCATGGAGAAGGCAGAAAAGAATAATATGAAAAAGGGAAAAAAGTGCTCAATTTTTTATAAGCCATGGATCTCAGGCTCACGGGGACCAAAAGTCAAACTTTCAGAGTTCCGAGTTTGGCGGGAATAACGGGGGGGGGATGAGAATCAAAAGTTCAACGGCAGCCGTACCTTGTTCTTGCGGAATCCTGGTCCAGTTCCGGCGTATGGAGCGTACTCTCCATCATCTGGAGTATCGCTACGACGATTGTTCCTAGAAAAATAAATTGAAATACTCAAATCTCTACCAGACCCCTTACTTGTAGTAGTAGGTTCCTCCAGCGACGGTTCCGACGAGTCCAACGCACATGACAGTTCCGACAGCTGAAACAAAAATCAATAAAATCCGGAATCCCAACATATATGTATTACCAAGAAGCAAGAGGCTGCTGCTGCTGTATCTTGGTGCATTTCCAGAATACTCTGCTGACGTGGCAAGACGACGTTTGTCAACCAGTTGAGCAGAGACAGTCTGCTTGGCCGGTTGTGGCTCCGGCTCGACGAAGGAGACGAACTCGTTTTGTCCTTTCTTCTGTGGCACTTGTGGCTCACCGGTTGCGGTTTGCATCGCACTTTCGAGCGATTCAACGTTGACTTTGGCGGCCTCGGTGTTCTTGGCGAGCTCATCCTGGGTCTTCTTGAAATCGGCCTCCTTGGCGATCTCCTCCTCAAGCATCATTTCCCCTGAAACCAAATTCTTTCATTTTCTATGCTCGTTTTGTTTCTCTCTCCGGAAACGTCACTATTTGCATTGCGGTTTTGTTTAGGCATGTGTTTCTGAAAGAAGAGCCTTCAATGGCAGTCCTCTTTTTGCCTCAAATGAACTCAATTATAAGCTATTTAGGATAGCTGGATAGAGAGTCATGCCTACCCCACAGAAATGCACTAAATTATCTCCTCCATTTTTCTGTTCTTCTTCCGTTTCAGCTCCCCAAGATGGAGTTACCAAGTTCATGCTCCTTTTTTTCAGAAGGCTTTCAGGATTCACGTAATCTCCGCCTCAGGACAATTTGCAGTGTGTGCGCTCCGAGGGAAAGAGCACTTCAGGAAATATGACTTCCTGGAGAAAAACGAAGGCACACGCACACACACACACACATGCGCACCACCGACAACATCAACTTTTTAAGCCTACACGTCATCAAAAAGCGCGAAAGAGCGAGAGCGAGAGAGCGGGAAAAAACGTTTGAACTCGTCGGATTTGGTTTCCGTCATGAGCAAGGGTGACAATGAGATCAACAGAATCTGTTATTTTGAGATGTGTGAAGGGATTACTGTGTCTCTGGGGAGCATTTTGAGTTAGTCACAATTTTCTACAAAATTTATCCCTAATTTTCAGTCACTATTTGTTGCCAGTTTTTTTTCTTTTTTTTTCTAATCATTATAAATGAACACACAAACACACACACATGACTTGCTTGCTCACTATTTTCCCGCTCCATGTGTGTTCTGTCTGAAAAACTGAAAACCACAAAAAACTGGAAGCGGCGCGTATCGAAAACGAAAAACACAAAAAGGGAATAACAGAATAAGCAGCACTAGACACAACAAAAAAGTCGAGTGGTTTAGAAGAAGAAGTCCTACTTCCATCTTTGAAGAACTCTCAGGTGTACCCCAGTCTTGAAAAACATGCCCTTCCAGAACCACCTTTCAACAAGTCCTCCAAGTCAAATGGTTCCTCTGCTGGCTTTGGCTTAGCATCCTCCAATGAGCGCTTGGATCCTTCACGGCTGTTCTTGGTTCCATGTCTAGAGAAGGTAGACTTCAAAGCATCTTTCTGGCCGTTTTGTTCCTCCTGGAGCTTCATGGCCATATCCGCGTAGTAGTCATAGAGCTCCTGGTTGCGTCTTGCCTCCACTGGATCGTACACGGAGCGATACTGCTCGCGAAGTGCCTCATCCAGGTTTCTCTGCTCCTCTTTGGCGGATTCCTCCATGATCTGCTTGTACACATCCTGTTGTTGCTCAGTGCTGAGGTCTGGAACATCACGTTCCCTGTTGGCTGCTGGTCCGTTTTGGACCGCTCCTCCTTCTGAAAATGCAATTTCCTTGACTGTGTTCGTAGACTAATTATGTTCAATAAGGTTAGTTAGTTATTACTAGATCTCTTCAAGATGTATCGTGTTTTTTCCAGACACATTTCTTTTCAGAAAGAGCCCGGTACCTATTCAAGAAGTCTTGCAAGTGTATAGCATTCCTACGTCAAGCTTGAATCACTCAAAGAAACTTTGAAGAGAGAAAAAAGAGTTTCTTGGTCACTCAACTCTGCTTTCATTCAACTTTTCTATTCAAGCGAGAATTCCAAGAAAGTGTGAATGAAAGGAAAAATCAAATTCGCCTCTTTTCTTCTTCTGACATTTTGGATTGAAGGTTTCCGGATAAGAATCCAACAAAAATTTCTTAATCCTCATTTTTTTTTTGAAAAAAAGAAGGAAAAACAAAGCGACAAAAAATCTAAAAATCTACCGTATCTTAATCACTCCCCCTTCTTTTCTTTTCATTTTTATCTTATTGTGTTTCCAACCACAATTTTTGTATCCTCTTCAACCCGACACACTCCAATCAGAGAGCCCATGAGTCACATGAGAGGCACTCTCATCTCTGTGTCACTGAGAAATAAGAGCTTGTAGCTCGTTTAATGAGATGTGCTCATGCCAAAAAAGGGGGGAGTGTTGCACTTCATCGAATCACATGCTCTTTTTACGGACTTTTTTCTTTAAAAAAGCGAAAAGTGTGGGCGAAAAAATTTAGAGTCAAGAAGAAATAATTCAAGGGACAGGTGAGTGATGAATGAAAAATAAAACTGAGGGGAGGATGTCATGAAAATTACACCTGTCCTCCATTTTTTTTTTGCGATGAAAGTTTTTTTTTCTCCGTTTTAAAACAAAGTCCATGACGTGAGAGGAAAGAGGAAAAAAGGTGTGACGTGGTTTTTGGAAAACTCTATTGACGGTAACTACGGAAGCTTCTTTTTGTTGCTAGCGCTGCCCATAGAAACACACTAGAGACCTGAATTTTTGCTCTGTTTCCAGTGGAAGACTGCCACTATGCTAATCGGTAAATAGCCGCTTAATTTTATTCTCTAGGGAATTCTTCAAAAAATTTTATTGGGTTTCTTTGTTATGATAAAATACTTAAATTTAAGAAAAAAATGACTCAATAGAAAACCGATCCGGAGGTAAAATTGAACGACTTCATGAAATATCTAATATTTTCAACCCTAAATAATGGAAACATCAATTAAACCTGAAAGCTAATTAGGCTAACATATAATTTGAATAGGAGAATAATTAATACCCTACACTTACTATTTGAAAACAAAAAATTAGAAATAAAGAAGTTAGTAATTATCTGTAATTAAAAAAAAACAGACTCACCTGTGAAGAGTGCGGCTTGTGTAGCAGAAAGGCATGCGAGAAGCACAACGACTCGCCACATGCCCATCCCGTATGAGGGCCGAAGAGTGGTGCGAGCGGCTCCGAAGCAGCTCGAGGAAGTTGAGAAGAGGCGGGCCTGCGATTTCTGCGACGCCGTTTTTGTCGCCGCTATTTCTCCGTCTTCACGTCTACAACGCATCTGAAAGTAACTCTCTCTCTCGTCGCTTGGAAGGATGACGTGCGCGTAGGAGAAGAGGCGGAGACTCGCGCGCGAGCCTTCAGTCGCTGCTTTCTAACGGCTCGCCGTGTCGCGCACTATTTCGGTTTCCGCGGTTTCAGAACCTCGCGAAGAAAATGAAAAAAGGGTTGGGACAAGAAAGAGAGGAGAGGAGAAAAACGGAAAAAAAATGCCTGAAGGCAATATCTGAGCACTGGAGCATGGAAGAGCAACACACCCAAAAAAAAATAGAAGGGTCCCAAGGCTACGCTAACAAATATGCATGACAAGAAACGGGGAGAGACCACATAAAGGGTCGTGTGACAACGGAGCAGAAAAAAAAGAGAAAAAGAAAGAAAAAAGCAGTCCTCATCATCGTCATCTCCTTCTTCATCGTCTTCTCTGTTTCCGAAAGCCCTCTCACAAACAAGTGGAGGGTAAAAAGGACCCTTCTCTTCGAAAGATTTCCCTAGGAAAGGTTTGTTTGACTTTCATTTCGTTTCAATTTCAGGCCTCATTGCTCTTTTTTTTCATTTCCTGGAATGTTGGGTGAAATGAATGAGGGAAACTGAAAACCAATGTTCTAAGAATCCGAGGAAAAAATAATCAACTTCACATTCGTTATTCTCGATGAGGATAGTGAAGGACAACGCATTTAATTAGATTATTCTGGTGGTGCACTTCTTGGGAGAGAGAAGTAATGAAAAAACTGTGGTCGAGATTTGAGAGGTATACGGTAGTGATGTAGCGTAGAAGAAGATTTGAATTGATTTTAATTCTAGAAAACATGGAAGTTTCGGATTCTTAGAATAAAGCGATTTCCGCACCTCTGATTTTTGGAATCTCCGGTTTTCAAGGAATCGGATTCTAAGAATCTCAGAATCTCAACATCCCAGAGGCCGTGAGTAATATCTAGATTCTAATCTCCCATTATTCAACGATTTTCAATACAAAATTTTTCTGAATTAGAGGCTTCTGATCACTTTTTATTTGCCAACACAAGATTGCAGCTACCGTAGTCCCATAATTTTGAAGTTACGGAAACTTCCTTCTCATTAACGTCTATATTTTGAATTTCTCATAAATTTGGGGAACATAACAAGGCAAGAAGAAAGCAAAAAAAAGCTGGTGTCTGTTTCAGACGTGCTCAATGATTTTGGCTCATGTCCCTATCCTCATCATCTCCCCTCCTCCTCGTTTTCATATCCCCTATTTTATGGTCACACTCATCGTCTCCCGTTTTTTTTCTAGATTCTCACAGAACAGAAAAAAAAACGCAAAACAAGAAAGGGGGCGCTGTCAGCTGATTGGAAGATACATTATGTTATTTTCCTATCTCCCAGTCTTCAGAAAAATACAATATCATTTATAGTCGGGAATAGGGGGTAGTTAAAACCGCTTCTTATTCTAAAATCCTGGAGGCGGTTTTCATAACTCAATCTAGGGATTTATTTTATTAAGATCAGGTTACGTTGAAAGGCAGGAAAATTTGGTTAACATTCAGATTTATGAAGAGAAAGAAACCTTGTCACTTGATTGAATAGAGCAGATTTAAAATATTAAACTTATTTTTTTCCGATTCATCTCATTCATTCTTAACATGATACCGTAGTCCTACTGGTGCATATCTTGAAATGATGCTAATTTGGTGGCGTGTGACTTAGTTATGGAAAGTGCTAGGGAGTGCATCCATCTCATTAGGAAAGTGTGAAAATTCCTTTCTTTCTCTCGTCTTCATTTTCACAATTGACGAGTGGAGGATAATGAGAAGGGTAGAGAAGTGCTTATCAAGGACAATGGATCCATTTGAGTCATGTTCAGATGTTCAGATGCAAAAAAAAGTGTAAAAAAGAAAAAATTCATAAGTGCCTTGGTGATTTGTTTCACTACATCTTCTATTGTTCTTCTACCGAGAATTGCTCTCCGAGCAGAAAACAACTCTCTCCCTCCCTCGTTATTCATGACGCGAGAACTAATTTTCAGGTGGTAACTGAGAAAGTGAGGGCTGATAATAATAGGTGAAAATTGTCTGTCTCGAGAAAGCAGAAAATTAGTCATGTCTATGCTCTTTCTTCGTTAGTAGTACCGACAATCTTCATATGACGCACGAATGTGGGAAACTTGAGCCAACTTGGGGAAATAATCTGTTATAAGTTATCACTGACAACGAATGAAAAGATCCACATCACTTATCCAGCAAATCGTGTGAATGGATAATTTGTGAACTCTTCAGGATCAGCCAAAGCTCTCGGACAAAAAGGAGAGGAGAAAAACTTTCCCTGAGCCAGCCTAATCTCCCTTTCACGCCTACACATGTACACCTCTTGCTCCAAGAAGCACATTCTTCAAATTTCATGAACTTTTCCTTCGTTTTAGCACAATTTACTTTGCTTACGTTTCCTTTGGAAAACTGAAATAAAAAGAACAGCTGATAAAAAACCGCCAACAAACTCTGATTGGGTTCCCGGAAAAGGACACAAGGGGGCCGATTCATATAAGAAACCACATCAAAGATCATTGAAAAAGCCCTCGAAAAAAGAGAAAAAGAGGGCCGCAAACTTTTTCTGTTCCCCTTTTGGAAACTTTTTTGTGGCGGGGGGCTCGGAGGCAACTTTAGGGAATTGGAGTCTTGTGAGAAAATGCGAAATTAAAACCAGTAGAAAAGAGGACACGGAAGGAAGGAAGAGAGAAGTTGGAACAAGCTTTGTAAGTACCAAATTATTGCAAAAAGGGTACATGATGTCATGGTTAAAAAAAATGTTTGACTGGATAAAAAGTTCGAAGAGGATCATGCGGACAGCGGTCATATAAATGTTTTTTTGAATACAACTTACTTGCTTTTGAGTTTCTCTGAAACTAAAACATCATTCTCGCACCTGACAGCAAAAAAATTCAATTGATTTCTACTAAAAGAATGTGCAACTGATAAGAGACCTATCATAAAAACCAAAAGCGAGCGTCATTAATGGTCTTGTTTGCAGTTGTGAAATCAAGAAGTAATGGTATGACTGAAATGCGGTGACCCTGTCTTATAAATTTATTCCGATAAGATCTCCTTCTCCTACCGTAATCTAGAAGGGAAAAAAGTTCATGAAAAGAGGAAACAGGTTCTCAAAGTTTAAGTTACCAAAAACAATTCGTCAGATGGCAAGGAAAAAAAAGGAAAAAAAAAGTAGCTCTCATTTTTCGCGTGCTATTTCTTTACCTTCTTCTCGAAACCTAAGGAATTTTCAGAAAAAAAATAGATCAAGTGCAAGATAGCGTGTTTAGATGGCATTAATTATGTTTCAGTCTCTCGTGTTAACGCTTTTCTCTCTTGCTATCTTTTAGATGCGTCAAGAATGCCGACGTCTTCTATTCCATCTATTTTTGAAAAGAAAGATGTTTCAGTCTGAAATAATCAGAGGGTACATCGAATGTTTTTGGTTTTTTTTTTCGAGGGGAAAAAATTGACGTCTTTGTTGACTACGTAACAGCTACAAAACGGCAGATTGTGAGGGGATATCAACTGAAAGATAATCAGTATATTATTCATTCGAGCGGAAGGAGAAAAAAAAGAAACATTTCAGCATGACTCGAATCATATCTATTCTTCTGATTGGGACGTCACAGCTAGATTATTCTAGATATCTAAAAATTGTATTTTCGGGACTTCCGGAAAAACAAACAACTCAAAATGTCAGAAAAATATCACCGGAATCAGATTTTGATCAAGTGAAATTATATCAAAAGCCAAAATTTTCAGAATATTGAGAGTTAGAGCTTGAAAGTTGAGCAAGAATATGTGATGATGAGTTGAGAAGAAATAAACCGAGACAAGAAATGATAAATTATTTAAGCGGATGTTTTCAGAAAAGAGGAATAATCCATTTTGGCTTTTAATTTTACAACGTCAGAGCTTTTTATTTTCGGAAAAAAAATAGAGGATGGAGAATCGGAAAATCAAAGAAAATTTAACTAAAATTGCATGGTTTTTTAATTGTGAAACCTGTATTAGCAGGGCCGACCTATCTATTGTTCATAGGTATCTCCGGAGGGCTCCTCTATTGCAGGGGTTCTTAAATTGCTCATTTTTCCAAAATTTTTTATCGACGTTTGCAGTGAATTCTTGTAACAGTTCATGAAAATCTATAAATTCCACAAAAATTAAGAAACTTATGAGCAAAAAATGTGTTTCAACAAATTACAGCACATGTTGAAAGAAGCTCATTCTCGGAGGGCCCCTCTAGGAGGGCTCTTATATTAGAGGGGCCTTCTATTAATGGGGTTCTTCTAGAAGTGGTCTAACGGTAATTGAAAAAAAAACCTACAACTGCATTTAAGTAAAGGGGAAATGCTACTTCTGAAAAACCAAATCAGAAACCTTCCGAATTAAAAAAATTTCTATACGAAAAAAATATTCCAATTTTCCAGTAGAGCCCCTTTGGCTGATTTATTGCTCTATGTCTACGCCTACATAGTGCAATTTTCTTGAGATTAGTTTTCCATTCCGTTTTTTTTTCTCCCTGGAACATGACATTCCAAGAACAGGAAATTTGAAACGAAATAGGAGGGGATTTGGGAAGAAGAGAGTGAACGAAATTGGTTTTCAGCCTTTTTTTCTTGCTGCTGTGTCGGAGCTCACTCATTCGCATTCCATGTATATTGGAATTTTTCTTGCCTAAATTGTAGTCGCCTCCAACAGAAAAACAGCTAGAAATGGGACATACAAAAATCAAATTGAATGAGAAAATAAGGCACGAAATTCAAATGTGAGAAGCGATAAGCAGCCAAGAGAGAAGGAAAAAGAATGATTAGAATTTTCTTTGAAAAAAATTGGATTATGGGATAAGAGAGATTAGGGAAAACAAAACAATTGATTTGATCCAGAAGTTGAATTAAAGGAAGACGGGAAAAAGGGGAGAGCCGTAAATATTTTTGTTATTTCAAGTGTGTTTGGGTTCTCTTCATGCTCCATGAATTCATAAGCAAGTTTTTTCATAAAAAGGGTTCATCTTTGAATAACCTGATTCTGCTTATTACTACAACTGAAAGCTGAGAACTTGTTTGAAAGCAATAAGTCATCTAGAACATGCTGAAAAACATTGCTGACTCACCTTCAAGCTGAATGCATTTAATGCAGAAGTTCGCGTTCTGAAAAAAAAAGCAGAATCTTTGAAGAATAATAAGAGAAGGGAAAAAATACAAAAAAAAGTTGTTGCTGCTGCCAAAACTTGAAAAATTGGAATTCACCTCTGCGACAAAGTGTAATTAATTTTCCACAAATGAAGAGGCTAACTAAAAATAGAACAGCAGAATAGCAACTTTATTTCTTCAAGGACTCAGAAGACGTACAGAAGAAGATGTATGGCAGTGTTGTGTAGGAAAAATTGTGGGATATTTTGTTGGAAAACAGTCAGTGAGATAAATTGGCAAACACAAGGAGTTCTCACTTTGTTTCGAAACTAGAGGCACCTGATCAAACGAGGAGAGTTGGGGGAGAAGGGAGATAAAACATAAAACAATTGCAAAATCCATCTGTCGACCGTTGTTCGTTGTCGCGCAGCACTGGCCGTTTTGTTTTTATTCGATTTTCAAATGAAATACGCTTCAAATCCTTTTTTTTCATTTTGGGCTTGTCATAAAAGGCAAACATTCAACTTTTGTTCAACGTGTTTTAAAATGCATGACAAAGTGGGAAAGGAATGATTGATGAGGATGTGAGTAGGTGGATTAGTACCCATTGTTTCAGCCCTGGATGATCATTCAAAGTTTTTAGATGACAACTGAAGGGAAATGAGAGAAAATAATGTGAAAATGTCGACGTGCCGATTTTCTAATTTTTTAAGAATTTCTTCTAGATACTGAAGAGAACTACGTAGCACCACGCAAAAAATATTTTCCGAATGAGGGAGCAAAGTCGTCAGATCTTCACAGGTTTCGGCTTGGCGTTTGATGTTCTCAAGTCAGATGATTGAAGAAGTATGATCAGAAGTGGGATGAATTGCTCATCTTAGATTAGATAACACTTGTTTGCACAATTTTCACAAGACACAAGAGATGGCTTGCAGCATGATGAACTGATATGGTGAATACGTGTTGTTGATGAGAAACTGAAACCAGCTGAACGATGTACATGGGGACTATCATAGAACACATGAGAGTTTGCAAAGAATATTTTAGAGAGCTATCGTATTCCGAAGTGACTCAAAATTTGGAAACTGTTACATGAGGAAATTACTGTTACTGTACAAAACCATGGTTTCCATCATTCGAAATTCACTTTCAATATTTGCAATTGCTTCTAATTCAGACACGGAATAATAAGTTTCTAACCTAGTTGTAGTTGAACTTTGTGATTCTCAAAAAGTGAATGGCAATGAAAAAAAAATTATAAGAAAACACGGAATTCCAGAATTGTTTAATAATCACATAAATTTTTGTTTTAAAAAGTAATGTTATTTTTGAAGTTTCAAAATTATCCTTTTGTCAAAACAGTTTCCTGATCGTTTATCCAGAATCCGATCATTAAAAAAAAGTTTGCGCATGTTATAAGCTCCAAAATCACAGCACACGTGTACTCCAACGGTGATCCAATGAATGTTTCCAATTTTCGACTGAAAATTGTTTTTATTGTTTGCAGGACTTCTGTCTTTTACCTCATAGGCGTTTTCTTTTTTCTCAGAATAGGTAGAGCCCATCTTCTCAGTTTGGTTATCATCATCACCACGAAAATTGCTGCTAGCATGATTAGCAAGTTGATGATTATATAGACACCCAGTAACGGAATACTTCCAGTCCGTGGAATTTTATCGGACATGACGCCAAGAATAAATGTCATTGTCATTATATTGGTCAAGCCCACATTTAGCTGAAAAATCTAAATTTTGAATATAATCAATTTTTTAAAAAGTACCTTTGACATTTTATCAGCTCCTTTCAGAAAAATGCCCATTATTGAAACGGAATTGATTACGAACGACGGGAAGATAATCATATAAAAATAATACAACGGATTTCTCGTAATCTTGATTTCAAAAACAGCTAGCTCAAGATCAAATCTATCCTGGAATGACAGAAAATCCACTCGGTTCGTTAGATTCGTAAGTCTCCATTCGGAATTTCCCTGAAAACTGATATACATTTTATGAAAAATTTCAGAAGAAATAAACCATATTATCAAACGCCGAGGCGTTTTGAATCCCTTCATAAACTTCACTAAAAATTTTGACTTCCTTGAAACTGAATATAGGAAGTGAGAATCGGATTTGACAAATTTGAGTGTCAAATGGAAATCGTGCGACATTCATCCGACAAATTACAGATACGCGTGCGGATAGGTAGTCATAAATCATTCCAAGATTGTCGAGACATACCAAACGGAAGTCTTGGTCGCGAAAGTCGATTAAGTCGTTTCTATAAGTTCAAATGTTTGAAAAATCGGCTCTCGTTGATAATTTTGGTCCCTTAAGATAATTCATTTCAATCCTTGAATATAATCTTGGTTCTTGAATGTTACTCTCGTCCTATATAATTTGAAGGGTAAAACATTTTGGGGTCATTGGGGTACAAAATCCTCACTTTGGGTGTACAATATATCTGAAAAAGGTGAATTTCGTATCCAGGAATTTTGGATTATACACCTCTAAATAACTTTGTACCCCATCGTACCCCCCGAATTGTTGTATCCTCCGAAGTATGTGACCTTTCTTCCTGAGGGGAAGAATCGTTAAGGGCCAAATTATCGGGATGTACCAAACCTTTCTCCCACACTACTCTAAAAATCTTACATTCCAAACGGTGTCAATGTTGGACTCCAGACCTTGTCTTGTCTCGTAAAAATTGCATTGACATTTCTGTAGTCTGAAGCATTCCATGACAGCCTTGGATCATACCAATACTGCAAAAAAAGGTGTTTGACTTTTTACGCATTGAAACACAAAAAAAGTAAAATATCAAATTTCCACCCACCTCCATGAGTTCCAAAACCACCGAGACTTGCTCTTCGGGTTCGTTGACCTGTACAAGTTTCAGGCTGTATAGGAAAAGTGTGTAGTTCCATCTCTGTGGAGCTTCCTTATCATATCCTAGCGGTTTGGAGGTGTCATCTATAAATGAACTCATATCAAAAACTTCTTGCTCAAATATTAGGTTGGAAGGAAACTAACTGTCCATTTTTTCATTAGTAAATAAAACAAAAAAACTAGATTTATCCAAGATTGACAGTATGTACTGTCGTGGTCCACAACATGTTGTCAACATTTTGGTAATCTGTGGATACCGTTCCTCCAAACGCCAGCTGGCTGCGAGTGAAACTATTACTTTGGTACATTTTTTCTCATCGATTTTGTCAAAGTCCTTAGGCTCCAGATGGCGTTGTAAATCTCCGAATAAATGATAATCTGATAGAACAAAGTCATGACTTTCACGGGTGTAAAGGAGAACCGTCCAGCCAAAGCGGCTCAGGTACGGCGTGACTTTTCGTGCAACATGAGATTTTGCATTTTTTAACGGAAGTCAAGTCAGACTTGAGCAGCTTCAGCTGGGCGGTTCTCCCTCATTTACTCATAGTCTCGACTCAGCTCTATCAGACTATTGATTATTCGGAGATGTACAACGCCGTCTGGAGGGGGACGAATTTTGCAACATTTATGAGAAAAAACGGGAAAAATGGATATTTTGGTTAGCAGCTGGCTAGCTTTTGGAAGTATGGTATCCCAAATTACCTGAAAGTTGGCAGCTTGTTGTGAACCACGACGGTACATACTGCTAATCTTGGCTAAATCTGGTTTTTTTGTTATTCACAAATAAAACAAGGGACAGTTACTTTCCTTCCAACCTAATACTTACACCAGGCATAAACGGGAGACACATCTTTCTCATAATTTCTGAACAAATCTTTAGTTAGATTCCCTTGCGCTTCCAGATAATCGCGGTATTTTGGGACTGCAACTCTAACAACTTGTTTTAAATTTACTTTGTTTTCTTACCATAGAGTTGAGGATCATAATAAAACGATAGCGCCGAATCAGTACAGTGTAATAAAAAAGTAGTAATAGAAAGTAGACTCATTATTCTTCAAACACAAAACTGGTCTCAGAAATGGACTGAATTGAACTGAATGCATTTATATTGCTCTTATGTATCCCGTGACCAAAGTAAAAAAGAACATAGAATGCCATATGAAATTTGAATCTCGAGTACTAAACATACGTAGTAGGGTAAAATGTGAATTGGTCCCATGCTTCCTGTTATAATCCAATAATTCAAAATAACAAACTAGAGAATACGGAATGCCTAGAGAATACGGAATGACAAACTAGAGAATACGGAATGATAGAGCATAAGCATATTGTCTTTCTTTTCATTTTGGAAATCTTTGAAAATTTGGTGCTCTGGTTCAAGTATACCGTGTACAAAATTAAAATTGTTTTTGCACATTGTTATTGCTCCGCGAGCACAAAAAATGAAAAACACCAATGTTGAAATTTTTGTAGAATTTGAATTTTTTGAATTTTGTGATGGAAAATATTCCCACAAAGTGTTATCGAGAACGGGTGTCGCATTTGCTGAAAAAATGATAGATGCTACGCGAGCACAAAAAATGAAAATTACCATTTTTGACTTTTTTGTCTATAGATGGAATTTTGTTAATGAAAATATTTTTACAAAGTTTTTTGGGAAGTATATTTCACTATTGTTCAATTAATGCTTGTTGCTCCGCACGCACAAACCTTAAAAAGTTCCGAATTCGACTTTTTTGTGTAGAAATTGAGTTTTGAGAATACATAGTTTTCCAAAAAATTGTTTAAACCCACTCCACGATAGCTCAACTATCAGAAAGAAGCTTTTTTCAAATTTTGTCGGATGTTTGTCCCGTTGATTTTTCAAAAAAGTTCCTAGCAATCTGAAAGCATTGGAATGTTTTTCCAGAACTAATTTTGCCTCACACAAATTTTGATGCATTTATTACAATATAAACCTCAATGAACAATATTCAAAGCCAAAACAGAACACATGTTTTGGAAAAAAAAAGTGAATCATAAGGCAGAGAAAAATACAATTGTATAGTGTGAATTTTTATCCATTTTTTGCCCTCCCAACACTTTCACTCTCTCTTTGAAAAAATCTATAGATTGTAAAATTATGGTAGTCAATTTTCACAAAAGCGTTGTGTTTAATGATTCTTCTGATTTTGAGGACGACAGTTTCAGTAAGTTTCTTTTGATTTTCAGCCCGGTTATTTCCTCAAATGTTTCAGTTACATCTCTCAAACAACAACGTTTGAAAGGTCAGATTCCCGTTGTCACGAAACGTTATGCACTTTCAATTACTATATTTTTTGCCTTGCTGTTTTTAGGAATCTCTCAGCTTATTGCATCTGCGAATCAGCAAGGTGGGGTTTTAGATGGATTCTAGAAAGTTTTAAAAACAAATTTCCAAATTTTCAGTGTTGCTCATTCGACAAAGATATGATAACGTGACAAATGGATATATGGATATCAATATACCCAGATACATCCCTGTCGGTATATATATATGAGACCAATGTTTCCACAAAAACGTTTTCCAGGCTCCTGTCTACTTTTACTACGAACTTCGAGGGTCCTTCAGAATGCATCGTTCCTTGAATCAAGCATTTTGCAAAAACCAATTGATAACTGGGGAGAGCTACGGATGTGACACTTTCAAAAACAAAAACTACTCCTGTGAAGATGCCAAGGCTAAACAATCGAAACTGATTCCTGGATTTTCTAGCTATTGTGTAGACGGACAAAAGTTCTACGCCCCTGTTGGAGGGACTGCTTCAATTATGTTTAATGGTAGGAATTATTTTCCTCTTCTTTTTTGAAAAAAATTCCACTCATCCCTTATGACGAATCTCTCGTTCAGATTACTTCAAATTAACACTTAACAACGTTGAAATTTTGTGGACAGAGGAAGGAGTGATCAGTGATAAACTTCGAAATGCGTATTTCGAACCAATAGGAGAGAAGGACTTGTGTAATGCTGAAATGGTATGTTCAGAGACCATATCAATCGAATTTTGGAGACTATTTTAGTTTCGAAACACAGCGAAACCTATTGGATGGAAACAACACGTCTGCGAAATGGGCGGTTACCGTAATATTTCACTGATCAAGTGGCTAGAGGGGACTACGAATATGAACTTTAAGAAGTTTTATAGAATTCTGGACACAAAGAAACACGATGGATTGAAAGCAGGGGTGTATAGGTTGTATGTGGATAATGTGTGTGGGTAAATTTTCCTGAATTCCTAGGAATCAGAGTTTCTCTCCAGATGACCCGAAAGTCATACCCCGAACCGAACATAAAATGGAGAAATATTTCTGGATTCTCCACCCAACATGGTTCGGAACCGAGCAGAAATTTTTGGAAGTTATGTATCTGATTGTTGGAGGAGGTCTACTAGCCTTCTCTTGTGGGCTAGTGGGATTCCAAATTTTCCTGATCGACAGAAGAAAAACCTATGACGACGATGATGAGTAGTTACATTTAAATTTTGTTCCCAACATTTTTATATTTCAATGTAAAAGAAAAAATATTTGTCTGTTACACACTACTACACTCGTTGGCAGGCAGAGAGAAAAGAGAATTTTTGAGAGAGAGAGAGAAGAGATAACATACTCCGCTTTTTTCCTCTCTTGTGTCGAGACACTCCAGCCGTCTGGTTGGTATTTAGTTTGCGTCTACTTCTATTGGTATCGCCGCCCGGTTAGCTCAGTCGGTAGAGCACCAGACTCTTAATCTGGTTGTCGCGGGTTCGAGCCCCGCATTGGGCTTATCTTTTTTGTTTCTCCTTCGAAACTTTTTAAAAGTCAAAAATGAGAACAAAAGCATAAAAACACAATTTTGCTGTAAAGAACTCTTTATTTCACGGGGGCAGTTTCTGTTTTGACCAAATCTTTCAATGATATATTTGTTTTGAATTTTTAAAAAAGAAAATGTATGTCTGTATTGAACAAGTTTCTCATGGTTAATATCCTGGAGCAGTTCTTGGTGGTGGGCAGTGGTCGCAACCTCCGCGGGCTCCCTCGTTTCCTGGAGCTCCTGGCTGTCCGTCGGATCCTGGCTTTCCTGGGGCTCCGTCTGGACCGTTCTCTCCTTGCTCTCCTGGTGCTCCTGGCTGTCCGTCACGTCCTGGTCGTCCGGCGGCTCCTGGTGGTCCTTGTGGTCCTGGGGCTCCTGGTGATCCTGGCTCTCCGGCTGGCGATGGAACGACGTTGGATCCTCCTTGTGGTCCAATTGGTCCAGCTGGTCCGTCAGATCCTGGGTTTCCGGCTGGTCCACGTGGTCCTGGTCCTCCGCGGGCTCCTGGGCGTCCAGCGAGTCCGTCGCGTCCTGGTTCTCCGGCGCTTCCGTTGTCTCCATCTGGTCCTGGACGTCCTGGTGGTCCAGCTGGGGCTTCTGGGCAGTCGAAGCAGAATTGAGAGGCATCTGGCTTGTAGTCCTCGCCATCAGCATCCTCTCCAGGTTGTCCTGGACGTCCGTTGGATCCGTCCTTTCCTGGGTGTCCGTCGAATCCTGGTGGTCCTGGTGGTCCAGCTTGTCCGACTCCGCAAGAGCAGCAGGTTCCCTCCGCAGCACGAGCCTTTCTTGGAGCACGGACCACGTTGAGCTTAGCAAGCTCTCCCTCGAGGGAAGTGGCGCGGACACGGCAGAAGTTGACTTCGTCTTGAAGGGAAGAAGACACGGATTGAAGGTACAAGCAGAGCATTGGAACGGCAACGATGGCGGTGAGGGTAGACACAGTGGAGACTGCGATTCCGAAGAAAGCGAATCTCTTCACTTTCTCGGTTTCGAATTTCTTGTCCATCGTCATCTGAAAAATAGAATGTAGAAGTGAAAATTGGAACTGATTAAAAAGTGAATTACCTTTGAGAACACCAGAAGAGATGGAACTGATACATTGGTTGAAACCGCGCGTTCTTTTATACACAGCCATTTCTGTGGGTAGTCGTTGATAGTTACCGAAACGTTACACAAAATAGGGTTTTGTGGATAGGTTGTCTGCGCCTCTTTGTCTCTCGCGAGCGCCTATCAATTTTTTTTCAACTTTTTTTTTCATTTCATTTGATACGTCCTGGCAACGTTATCACATGAGTTAGAGAAACAAAGCGCGAGGTGAGAGATAGATAATGACTGTGTGATACGTTGGATAGTGCGCAGGCGCCTGATTTGTGGCCATCGTTTTAGTTCTTCTTCTTCAATCTCAAAGGCAGCCATTTTTTTTGGTTGGCAAGGGAACAAGAGAAAGTCGAGAGAGTGCAGAGACGGCAGTGAACTTCCTGAAACAACGGCAATGATTGTGTTTGTCAGTTTTAGACTTCGTTATCAAAAGTGATTGTTTGAATTTGATTGCAATGGTGGGGAGATTGGGAAGTTGAAGAAAGTGAAAAGTAAAACCGAACCGTGACCCAGAAGTGATTTTTGGCAAGAACTCAGGTAAAGATCAAAAGAACTTGGTATGAACATTGGAACAGAGAATAATCTAATTCAAGCCTACCCAATACCTGCTCTTTGACCATAATTGTCTCGGTTCATTCGAAAGATATCGAAGAAATTTTGACTGGTTGATTATATGTCATAATATCATTAATATTTTATCAGTTCACAGATTATCAATATCTCTTATAAGAAACGGGATAATCGTTAGAAAACATGATACTTTAAAAAACGTTTTCCAGATTTTTGATTTCTTGGGATACTGGAAATTGGCAATAATTCTGAACTCATGATTATCTATCTTCTCTTTTCTAAACCCCATCTGGAACATTTTCCATCTATCTTCCAATGTTTACATCTGACACTTTACACTTTCGGGACCCTCAATCAACAACTGACTCCAAGACCCCAAACATTCATTTGTCTTTTCCAACCTTTCCAACCACCGGACCAATGCTTCTACTATTTCTCCTTCTTCTTGTTCCAATTTTCTCAATTGCCGATTATACTGTAAGTGTTCCCAATGACTAATCATCACATCCATCATCTTTTTTTCAGCCTGATTGGTCGTCGCTTGACAAGCGTAGTTTGCCTAGTTGGTATGATGAGTCAAAGTTTGGAATCTTCTGTCACTGGGGACTATATTCGGTACCAGCAATCAGGTACGATGTTCCTCTTACTTTTTCTCCTGTTGACAAGTTCAAGTTCACAAGTGTTGTTTGATAAGATTACTGGTTTGCAAACCAGGAACTTTCTCTCACTTAATTTTTTTTTCGTCTTATCAAATTCCGATCTGAACACTGTTTTCAACTTTTTTCTATCACTTTCGGCGATTTGAGATTTTTGTAATTTCTGTCTTGGTTTCCCCAAGAGATGACTAAATTGTGGAGATGACTTTTTGATTCAAATTTGGAAAACCTATAGAGATGGGGGATCATCCAAAAAGAGATGAGGATTCATTAAGTTTTGATGCAGGTCCGAGTGGATGTGGTGGTATTGGAAGGGCGATCAACCAGATGCGAATGTTGTAAAGTTTGTGGAAAAAAACTACAAACCCGGAACGACCTACGCTGATTTCGCAAAGGATGTTAGTTGAAACAAGATAGATTTGATCTTTTGAAGATGGCTTACAACAAACAGTGTCGGGCAAAAAAAAATCATATTGTGGTTCTTTTTTTGTAGTAAACAATTAACTCTGATGTTCAGAAGAAGTAGTCCACAATTTTTCAATCAGCCTGAAAATTTTTTAACTGAAAGATAAATTATTACTTAGGAAAAAAAAAGTTACTGTCATCACAGTGGAGTCTGACAAAAAATACATTTAAAGGAGGCCAGACACGAAGGTCTACGGAGTTTTCTTGGAGCGAGAGTATGTATTCTGACGGAAAATCGTGCGATTGCGACCAATGCGCGCTACTTGACGAGCATTTATTTTTTTTCAATATACACTAGATTTCTTCACTGTTTGGCAATTACTCCCGACTTTTTCTAGTTATTCGGTCATTCTAGGATGTCGCCGCATGAAAACAGAAAAAAAACGAAAACGCACAAATGGGAATCGAACCCGCGACGCGCGTTCACCTCTACACCACAGGTGGGCTTTTCGTCTACTGCCACTAAAACGATTATGAAACGAGGAGTCGGCGCCGCTTGGAAGAACGGTCGCGTTCTCGCTTGTACAGTAACTGAGAGTTATGGTTTGGTGTCCATTGTTATTTTCTGACTGTACTGTGTCATATATCAGAAAACTAGAATTTTGAAAATTTTCATGTCTGGCCTCCTTTAAAGAAATGATTTTGAATTTTCCGAGTAATGAAGCATTTTACAAAAAAATAGAGATGCATTATCTCAAGACTTCAAAGTTGACTATTTTCCATTGAAAAGTCCATATGCCGTAAAACCTGTATTAGAAGGACTCCTTTAATAGAACAACCCTTCTAATAGAAGGGCCCTCCGAGGGGGGTTCGGAAAAATAGAAGTGCCCCCTGTAATAGAAGGGCCCCGAATTAATATGAATTTGTTGAAACACTATTTTTTTGTTGATAAAAACTAGCTTCATTTTGGGGAAATTGACAGATTTTCATGAATTTTCAACGTCAATTCGTCGAATTTGTTGACTAAAAGTTCCGGGAAAAATAGCCGAAAAAATATAAGCCCCCTCTAATTGAAGAGCCCCTCTAATAGAAAGTCTCTCCGGAGGTACCTTGGAACAATATCAGAGCCGGTTCTTCTAATACTGGTTTTACGGTATGATTTTTTTTCAGTGCGTATCGCATTTTGTATCCAGATAATTGAGCTCACATTGACGGTTTGGGTGGGCTTATTTCAGAGAAAATACCATAATTTCGTAAAACACAAACTGAAAGGAACTGGAAAAAATCCTAACTTTTTCCCTTCATGATTGGCTTAATGAGACTGAAAAAAATTCAATATAAAGTTTATGGATTTTCCAGTTCACAGCTGAATATTTTGATGCCAACAGATTCGCCGAAATTGTGAAAACCTCTGGAGCGAAGTGAGCAAACCAATTTTAGTTCCATAATCCTATTTTTCAATTTTAGATATTTCGTGTTCACCAGCAAACATCATGAGGGTTTTACAATGTGGCCGAGTAGAACATCTTGGAATTGGAATGCACAGGATATTGGACCAAAAAGAGATATTGTTGGGGAGCTGAAAAACGCATTTAAACAAACCAACGTTCATTTTGGACTCTATTTCTCACAATTCGAGTGGTTTAACCCATTGTTTTTGGACGACGGAAAGTTCAACACAACTAATTATCGTGATGTTAGGTCATTTGAGATTCGTCCCTCTGTATTCTGAACTTTTTAGCAAGTTTCCTACCCTCAAATGTTTGAAATCGTCAACAAGTATGAACCGGAAATCGTCTGGAGTGATGGCGAATGGGACAAGACCGACGATTACTGGAAGTCTAAAGAATTTCTTGCATGGCTGTACAATTCCAGGTACAATTATAGTTCGATGATTCTCTCAAAAAACTGGTTCACATTCAAAAACCATTGTCTGAAAAAGAGAAACAAACTTGTAAAAAAATAATTTCAGCCCTGTCAAGGATCGCGTAGTTGTGAACGATCGATGGGGAACTGGAACTATGGGATCGCATGGAGGATTTTTGACCTACGCCGACCATTACGACCCGGGAAAATTGTTGGAGAGAAAGTGGGAGAACTGTATGACTCTAGATAAAATGTCATGGGGAAATCGTCGAGACATGAAAGCATCCGATGTTCACACCGTTTTTGAAATAATCGAGCAACTAGCCAGAACAATTGCTTGTAACGGAAACTTATTGTTAAATGTTGGTCCAGATATGCATGGTCTGATTCCAGCTATTTTTGAAGATAGATTGGCGGAAATCGGACGGTGAGTTTGTACATTTTGGTAGCTCATAAACAACCCATAAGTTTCAGATTCGTCGATTTACACTCCGAAGCAATTAATGAATCCAAACCCTGGATCTATCAAAACGACACCAACCAACCGAACACTTGGTGAAACAAAAATGTTTTTGAGAAAAAAAAATCTATTTAATCTTCCAGGTACACCTCAAAATGGAGAAAGGGAACCTTTAATGGCAGACGCATTTCGAAAAAAAACCAACTTTTCAATCAGCAAACTGAAAAACAAACGGTTATTTATGCCTGGATCCTGGACACTGCACATGAGACGTTTGAATTGAAATCTGTGAAGACCACGGAGAATGTGAGAGTTTATATATTTTTTTATATGGATGTCCAAAACTACAAAATTAGGTTTTTAGAGATTCAAAAATTGAGAAATTATCGAAATCTAAAGCGACACGTACTTCCGCGAATAGTAGCCTAATTGAATCGTCACTTTTGAGCTCGAATATCTCGATTCTTGTGAAAGATTTTGTCAACTTTGTCAACTGATAAATTATTTATCATAATATCACCAATTTCTTATCACTTAATAGTTTCTCGATATCTTTTACAGGAATAAAGAAAATTGAGCTCGAACGTGACTGATTGAGTGGGCTCCTATTAGAGGAAATACGGTATGAATGATTTTTGGAAAAATTCGAAGAACAAAACCTTTAAGAAAATAGCATAACTTCTCAGACAACTGCAAAACTCCTGGGTACCGATGCTGTTTTTTCTGGCTTTGGAAAGTCTGACTCCATTATCATCCCATCGTCAAAAATCCCATGGAACAAGCTTCCTCGTCGTGACGTTATCGTTTTGAAAATTGAGTACGCCGCAAACCAAGAGGTTACTTTCACTCATTTTTCTATTACTCTTTTTTTTTCTCCTTAACTTCATCAATTTTCAGCGAAATCCATTGAAATCGGCGTCCTATTGAGTGGACAATTGAGCGCGATGACAAATATTCCTGACGTACAATAGAAGATAACACATATATATTACATGCATAATTCATGTCTTCGTTGATGAACGAATACAATATTTCATTCTTCTCTGCTTCCATTTTCTCCCCCTGAATTTCCTTGCGCGTGTCTGTGGCTCGTGTCACCCGCGAACCGACTCGAATCCATTAAAAATCGCCATAATAAACTCATTAGGGCTTCAATTGTTTTCTTTTGTGGGAGCGATCTCATCCACCCTATTTTCTTCTCTCTTTTCAAAATGTGAACCCCCAAACAAATAATTCAAAATGAGAAAAAAAAGACGGTGACTGAACCGTGGCCCGTTTTTCTTCCTCATTCCATTTTTTTTTTTGCATACCCATTAAAGGAAACGAAGTGGTAACTAGAGGCGAATGAGGACACTCAGGTTGGGACAACAGTAATTAAATATTTCGGATTCATATATATCGAAACGACCTTTCGCGGCGAGGAAGAAAGCGGTCGGATCCGTGACGGCGCAGTTTGAAACGCGTAGAAGAGGACAGGTAGAGGCAGAGAAAAAAAACGGATGAGCCAAATGAGGCGCAGGACACCTGTCGGAGGAGGGAAAACCTTGAGAAGTCGTTCTTTTTTCTAGAAGTCCATTTAGGAGCTTGAATTGGACTGGTTGACAAATGGCTATGAAATTAGGAAGATCGGGGTAGAAGAGAGAAGAGGTGGTTGAGAGAGGGAAGGCTAGTGATGGTTACGAAATCTCAATCTAATTTTCGAAAGATGAAGGATTTCTCAATATGATTTTGAAATAATTTGTGTTCGTAAATAAGAGGGGGATACTGTGGCAGATATAAGAAGAGTCCAGAAACAACTGTGTAATTTAGGTTTTTGATATAGGAAGAAAGAACTTGTGAAAAAGAATCTACACAGCTGGAACAAAAGTTTATATCCAGAATATTTAAAAAAAATGATATCAAATATCAATTAACATTGATATTATTGGTTTTAAAGTTCAAACACTTTTAGAAAGTATTTTTTCTAGAAAAAAGAAGTGTTTTGAATAAATTAGAATATTTCGCAACGCTGAAAGCTTTTTGGATTACGGTAGGATATTTTTCGAAATTTCATATTTTGACGGATACATGTAAAATCTCAATTCAGAAGTTTTTAACAGCATGTGTAGTTTTTTAAACTAAATGTCATTGATTTTTTTTTCATTTCTGAATCCAATAGATAAAAATCATTAAAGTCCCTTCATTCGGTTTTATTGTTTTTTCCTTATTGGTTCTTCAGAAAAATAATGTAAGTTCATACTTTTTGTGTTTCTGTGCTTTCATTCTTTAGAATTCCCACGACTTCCAAGTTCCTGGTTCTAAAAAAGTTCTACACCTTTGAAAGCATTCCCCCAACAACAACCAACAATAATTCTTCTTTCAGGTCCACCTGGGACCATCCAACTTTGCCCTTCATGATTCAAACTCTCTCTTCCGTTGTTATTGTGTCGTAATTCAACAAAAAAGGGAAGAACCAAGCCGCCAAAGAATAGGTCCTTGTTAGGTAACAGCGCATCCTTACCCGCTTTTGTTGCATCCTCCTTAACCCTACCTGTCTATTGTCTTTGTTCCCCCCTTATTCTCGAAAAACTGTGTTTGATCAACCGGCTCATGCTGCACACACACGTACTCCTCTCAGATATCTGACAGCTTCAAAATCCGTCATCGTAAATCTCCAACTTCTTTTTTCTGAATATAAAGAAACGAGTAGTCGGAGGTCTAAAAAACAAACAAAAATCGTAAAATGGCTCAGAGTGACATTAGGAATTAACACACGACGACGTTTGATTCATGTGTGGTAGTAACTAAGAGAAATTGAGAAATATGGTAACTAGAATCAACGAATTGGTTGGAAAAACAGATTTTCAAAGTGTCAAAAAATCTGGGTTAGTGAACTACTCCATTTTTGGAGCGGGACAACCTTTCGAGTTATATTTATGCACTATGAATTTTGATTCAAACTTCGAAATTCAAAACAAAATCGGGATTTTCCGGAGTTCCGATATTTTGACCTCCCCAACTGTTTTCCAATTTTCGTTTAGTTTTCCAAACTTCAAAACTTCGGAAAAGTAATTTATCCGGGTTTTAAAGGAATTCCAAAAATTTTCAATCTAGATTGGTGGAAAAAGAAAGTTGTCTTAGACTCGCTTTCCTAATTTTTGACTAGTATTTGGTTCATACTACAGTAACCTCATATTTGCAAAGCCTTGTTAGAAAATGAAGATACAGATCGAAATAAAATTCAAATCCCTGTTTGAAAAACAAACAAAAGTTGAATGTTCTCTTTTTCTGTTCACACACACACACACACACACAACATTCCACTCCCCCCCCAATAATTTATCGCTCAAGTTGACAATAAAATTGGTTTTTGTCGAATGAATTCGTTTTTCGAATTCACGGCTTCCCCTGTCTCTAGCCACTCTGTAACTGCCAATTTGAAAAACGGATCTCTCTTTGGCTTCTAGTTCCCACAATCCCTTCTCTCTTGTATTTTGTAGTAGTACGGATACCGTTTTATCCAACAAACAGATATTTTGTTTTAATTGTCCCCCATTTCCTGCTACTCCAGTCTACTCTACGTGACTTCCTCACACACCGAAATCCAGAGAAAATTCGCAAACCGTGAAATAATAATTATCGCCATTCTCTCTGGTTGTTGCTGGATGCTACCTTTTGCAGCACCTCCGCCAAAACACTTTTCAATTCATTTTCTTTTATTCGTGAGATGAGGTATAGACACTTTACTTCTGCACGCATAGTTAATTTCGGACCCATATAAAACTGGTTCGGGCTATTTGGAGAAGAGAAAGAAAGAAAATCAAAAGAATGAGAACCGTTTTCAGGAAAATGGCCACCGTTGTCATGGAGAAGAGAAAAAAGTCCATTTAGCAAATGAATGAGTGAATCTGAGTGATTTAGGAGGATCCTTCGATTACTCCAAATCCATTCCAAATGATCGGAAAACCCAAAGAGTAGAAAGAAAGAAAGAAACAGAAAAAAATCCCTATTACCAAAATGGTGGGTTGTAAAAGTCGACTCGTTTGGTTTCTTTCTCTCAACATATCCATTTTCTTTCCATTTTTCTTCAAATCGATGTTCAAATCTCCATTTCAGAACAATGACGATTATTTTCCGGCCAAGCGACGTGTGCCTAAAAGCTCGTAAAGAACCAATAAACTGATTTTGCCATTATTGTCCTCCACGCTGTACTGCGCCGATTATGGTCATGGTTTATGGACCCTAAAACCTGACATTTTCAAAAGGGTTGAGAATCGGTGGGAGAGAAGGAAAAGACACAGATAAGTTACTATAATGGGTTCCCCCATTTCCGGAAGACATTCTCTATCTCCAATTCCTTTCAGAAAAGGAAAGAAAACGCACAATTTTTGCAATCGAGGGAACGAGGGGGGACCTCAGTCTTCACCTTCTCCACATTTTTACGACCCTTTTACACAACCAATCCCGATGGGTTTTTCATCAAGAACACGAAACCTGTCCTCTTGTATTTGTTGTGTTCGCATGATATTTCGTAATATTCAAAAAGTTCTCATTCATAAACGCCTCTAGTTTTCTTCGTATTCGACTAGAAACATGACGAAATCCCGGGGCCGTTTCCAATAGTTGCAGACATACCCTGCGCGGAGCTGTCTTTTTCTGGGAATACGAAAAGAGCCCACAAAAAATGATCGAAATATGAAGAGAGTATGTTGACAGCTGCCATTGAATACGGTAGCTGTAAAAACGGAAATTGGATGTGAAGTAGAAAAAGAAGAAGAAGAAGAAAAGAGCCGACATCTGTGTTTGTGTTACTGCTGTATCATACTCGTTCTTAATGTAATGTTGACTTTTGTGAGAGGTTTTTTTCTTTGATTGGGGGGCTTCTTCTTCTGATGAGGATGATGAAATTTGAAGGGGTACCGGGAGGAGTGGAACAGGAAATAGAGCAAGAAAACATTTTTGGGTTACGGTAGTTGAAATTGCGAAATTCGGAAGATTCAATGAGGATTCATCAAGATGGTTTTCTGAGAGAAGTTTTGGATATAAAAAAACCTACCTGACTGGGGAAATCTGAAAATGTATTAAAAAGAGATTCTGGACGATTCTCAGGATTTATTGTATTTTCTCTTTTTTTTTTTTTGAATTAAGATTTTTGTGAGAGGACTCGTCGCCTACATGAAGCTCTTAAAAAATAAAATTGCATCATAGAATCAATACCTCATTTTCAGGATGTGACAACATTTGTAGTAAAAAATTGCGTCATTATATCCCTAAGTTTCTGAAAATAAAATTTTCAACTAGATCTCTAGAAATCATATTTTGAACTCCTTTCATTTTCTGTTTATCCAGTTTTTCAATCCGAATTGTTGTTTAATTAGTCGTTATTTGAGTTTCCCATAATTAACCTGGAAATTCACATTTCTAATTTCTTTTACTTTGTTATTTTTTCTTTCAACTCTATAATTGTCAGTTCCTCATAATCAGAAACTCCAAAAATAAAAAGTCAACCTAATAATTATCACAGCTATCACCAATTTTTGGTTACTCTGTCATTCGAAGCATTATGATCAACAACGAAAAGGAATCTCACTTGATAATGGTGCGTAACAAGTAAGTGACAGATTTCATAGTTAAAATTTATCATTCTTGAAATCTCGGAGTACTGTAGCCACTTGAAAGTTGCCCTTTTGCAATAATCCTAATTTTTATAATTTAATTATAAAGGACGTGAGAAATTATATTTTGCAAAAAAATTCAGTTTCCACCAAAAAAAAAACATACAATTTCATAATTTTTAACTCGATTACCCTCTGAAAACAGTACTGTATTTGCACTTTCATTCATTTTTTTTTCAATTTCCAGTTCGCGCGAATTGAGCGAATGTGTATATAAAATTAAGACA